TTCCACCATCTTTTCCTCTGACCTCGTCCCGCTCAGGCATAGTTCACCATCTTTTGTGTCCCAACAAGCATGCTCAAGAGAGTTTCGACGATGACCACGATGGATAACAACAACGACTACGATGAAGAAACTAGTGACCACCGTGTTGAAGATGGTAAACGTCTGACTTAGATAATAAAGACAAACACCAAACAATTACTGGGACGGACACTGCGAACAGCAAGAGGAAGCGCGGGCTTCGTCTTACCACTCACCGCAAAGTATAGAAAAAAACGTGGGAACATACACTGCATTTTTTCACTTGAAAAAAACTTCACTCTCTGGCTCAACCCCTAACTCACATAGCACCGAAGTCGTGACTCCAACGCTGAATGTGACCCTACCATCGGACTGGCAGTGACCCAAAACCTCTAATTTGTCTTTTCCCTCGCCCGTTGTCGTTAAGAAACGAGAGTGACACTCTCGTTCCACTGCGTCGTATCCCACTTCGTCAACATCGCCGTGCACCCTTTTTTTTTTTCCCCCCTTCCCACTAACTCTCCTCTCAATCTGACTACAAATTCGGGATTGCCCACCCCGAAAACCCCTGTCTCAACCCTTTCCTCGCCCGATTGCGATAAGGAACGGGGGAGATCATTTTTTTTTCATCTTTCCCTTCTTCTCCCTTGCTACGTTCGTTCTTAGTCGCCTTTTTGTTGATGTCAGTCCCCGGTGCCAGCTCCACTTCGTAGCGCACGATCAGACAGTCGCCCACTAACATGTCCAACAACTCCCTCTATGATAAGTGAAACTTCAAAGGGGATCACCATATAGACGACTCGATTAGTCTTTCGCTCTTATACCTCACGTCCGATGAAAGGGTTGCATGGTACTACTGCAAGCCTCCGCCACAACGCCCCTGGCCCGCTCTGCCCAAGCATAGTTCACCATCTTTCGGGTTCCAACGGGCATACTCACAGTCAAATCTCCCACAACTAATCATGGGTGGCGTTCGGTGCACCCGCAAAGGGTCCCCGCCACTTTGTCTTTTTCTGCCTCCTAGTCTAGGCTCGCATTGCTTATTAAACCCCTCATAGGACAGTTGCGCTATCGAGCGCACTGACTCCCGCATTTTTTTGCAAAATGCGAGAGCCCTCCCGACCATGTTACGCAAAAGGACGCCGCTTGGGAACGACACATAAATAATCCCGCGAACCATCGAGACGGGTATGGTCGCGTCGTCCTTTCGCCACTTTAGCCAGGTATGTCAGTTGTATTTTTTGTGGTCCCCTATGACAGGATAGCTTCCCGTGGAGCACAACTTAGCTTCCTTAAAGGGCGGTCACCACCCTTAAGGGTGTATCCCTATCGAGCTACTGACCCATATATGAAGGTTTTTACATGCAACTGCAAATGTAGGTCAGCCGAAGGCATTTGCTCGTTTTGCTGCATCATAGATTCACATGAGTTAAACACCATCGTACCGCGGACGTTGCCCGTGGCTGAGGGCGTTGATCTCCCAAGCACGAGGCATATGCCAGTCGACTAGGACGGTCTCAGCCAAGCGTGAAACCCCCAACTCGATCCTAGTCCCTTTAGACACTGGTCAAAAGAAAGTTATAACAACCACACATAATTACATCAAAAGGAGTCGATCTTAGTCGACAGGAATATATATCCAATATGAAATGATAACTGAAAAAATCCACATCGTCAATTAATACATCCAATAACACAATACTAAAATAAAACCCCACCACCTTGGGTCGAACTGAACAAAACAACTCTATGAAACAGCCAACAGAGAGTTGGGTTTGACAATATCCTCGATGCAGCCTACAAGGTAGTCGGTCTGCCTCAGTTTTGATTTCACGAGACACGCTACCAAAGTCATTCATTCCATCCTACTGCCGACCTAAAATTAGGTACGCACACTCGTTTTCAGACCTTTCTAATTTTCTTGGATGACAGACTGCTTTGCAAACGTTTCTTGATCAGGTGCATTACTTGAAGTGTTTCATGCCTCTCCCTCTATGAAGTGGTTTCGGTTACTCCTCTTCCTCGTCCGAGTGCAAGACTCAGATCTCAAAAGTCGGGCTGTCTCCACCGAATCGGCAAAGTACCTCCCCGTAGAACGGTCCACTCCGGGCTGATAACAGGGCTGACTCATGAGGCAACGAACCCCTGCCCCAGATGCTTTCTAGAGAGAGAATGTATCCACCACAAGTAGATTTTAATTGTCCTCATTTTTCCAAAGCTCAAGGTATTATGGACGAAAAACGTCAGAGGAGGTAGGAAATGAGAATCATTTGGACAAGTGTAGACAGATGAAGTCATTCAGGATAGAAAAGGCTAAGTCAGTTTAATTTTTTATTCTGTATTTGAATTGAATTTTTTTTACGGTGCATTCTGAATTAATATTTTTTAAAACAATAAGTCTTTTTGACAAACAGCAGGTGCTGGGTAGAAAAAAAACTTTTTTTTTTTTTTTTTGTACCAAATAGACATAAATCAAACGCCTTTGCAAGCATCCTTCTACCTATCTGCACACTAAAAACCAACCAACAAGTTCAGAAAACCCAGCAATCCATACTCCCGTCAGATCCCATTTTTCTCACATGCATGACCACACACGCTTTACTCAAACGTTCAAAACAAACAGGGTCAAGCAATGTGTGGGTTCATACAGGTGTGGAGGGAAAACCGGGTCGCCAACTGACCTTGATTGAAGCGGTGTCGAACGTACCCCAACTCACTCAAGAAAGTCAAGGAAAACATATATACACGTTGTCGGAAGAAAAAAAACGTAGTATCAAGGTAAGGTCAACAAATGACCTCAATTCACGTTCTACTCACACGTCCCACACGCGGTAACCCCAAGTGTGAAAACGGTGAGGCGCACTCGTCGTAAGGAAAATAAACTTCACTGGTTCCACGTCAGTGCCAAATGGTACCACCCCAACTCACTCAAGAAAGTCAAGGAAAAAATATATACACGTTGTCGGAAAAAAAAAACGTAGTATCAAGGTAAGGTCAACCAATGACCTCAATTCACCTTCCACTCACACGTCCTACACGCGGTAGCCCCAAGTGTGAAAACGGTGAGGCGCACTCGTCGTAAGAAAAATAAACTTCACTGGTTCCACGTCAGTGCCAACTGGTCCCAAGTGGTACCGGGTGGTCCTGCATTATTCCTTCCAAGACCTAATGATATCGTCCATCAAAACCACTTCTACTACGCCTCACAAAAAAAGAAAATGCTCAAGTTTTCACTTTGTCTGCACCTCCCGTCCCACTCACGTGCTCCTCTGGTCGCACTGGTTCCACTTGGTCAAAGTCAAAGGTCCCACCTCCGCCAACGCACGAAAAAAAAAAGGCATATCGTTTCCACCTTGTAAATCTTGGTCCAATGTGTAGATTATTATCGAGACCTCAAACGATCCCCGGCGTACCGCCGTAATAGTCCTACTTCAAATTACTTATTCACTGACGTTGGCAGCGAGCCCCTCGACGCATCAAAATTCATCATGCACTCCCCCCTCACTTCGTACCGTCCAACGAACCATAATTTCAACAGCGTAACGCTGCAAAAATTGTTGTTGTTGCCGCAAAAAAACATTGATATCATTTTCCCACAGAAGTGGGAAAACAGCGTGTCGAGGTTCTTATTGCCTGTACCACCACTAGTGAGGTCGCGAAGTTCCGTCGTTGCCGCTGAAACCTGACGCCAAAATAGTAAAATTTTGGCCCTGGACAAAATCTTGGCCCAAAGTGTACTCCCACTGTGCCGCCTTGGTCCCACAGCGCCCCAAGTACCATCCCACTGGACCAACATTAGCCAGAAGGAAGAGGACCAGAGTTCTTTGTATCTTGGCTATGGTTGTCGTGCTCCTCTCTCGCTCCACTGCAGACCTCCGGCCTCCTCCCATATTGCCTCTGGTAGCTTCTTCAACAACCCAACAACACTCAAGTGTGCTTGTTACACACTTACAACACGAGGGCTTCTGTGTGGCATCTGGGGACAACTGCCTGTTCTATAGTAGCTGAGGAGAGTTAGATTTCACTCCAGCCCCAGGCAAAATCGCGGGATCACAGTGAGTCATTTATCTGACAAAGATCAAAGGTTAATTGTAGTCGTACGACAACCACAACCTTAGTGGGGGCAGTTCTTTAACTGCCCTATTTTTGTTTGTTTTTTTTTAATCTCAATTATCTAAGATTTTCACGAGATAATTGAGATCATGAAATTTTCAAAACTATTTTTCTTTTATTTTTCTGATAAGGGGTTGGAGAGATACAACCCCTTTCAGTTTAATGTATCAGAACCCGTTTCCCAAGGCATATACATCAAGGAAAATGTTATACTTAGTCTTTTCTTTTTTTATCCTTTAATTTTCAAGCTCCCTCTAAAAACAGGAGTCTGACAGTTACCTCTATTCGGACAGGGTTTGGATCTCGGATGCTTGTCTTCTAGTATAGGTTGTGTATTTTGTCTGTTTTGGCTTCTTTTATTTGTATTCGAATTTTTGAAGGTAGTTCTGAGGTATAAGTAAACTTTGCTCTGTGGTTTTAACTGATTCCTAGTTAGGACCGGGGACACTATGTTTTTGGTCCAGTCGGACTGGCGTGGTACCGTCTGGAAGTTTCTTGTTTGGACAGTCCCACCTCGAAAGAGGGACCTGCCCCGCCCACTTTTTGTCGGATGGACTATAAATACGTAGACAGTAGTGGTAATGGGCCTCTTGGGTTCTGCGGCCGATGGTCGACCGTGACGACGGTAAACTATCGCCCGCAGCTGGCGTGTGGTAAGCGGCGATTTCTGGGTTTGTTGGCTTTGCAAATGGGAAAAACCCTCTGGTTTTACATCACATGTCTACTGTCACTACGGTGACCTCGTCTTTCTACACTGTGTGCTACTAGTATCACCTGTGCTGTGCTACACTGTGTGCTACTACTGTTAGTTACATTTGTGTGAGACTACCATCATATCATATCCTATTACCACATGCGTGAACTTATCTGGGGAGGTTCATCGGATTTAAGTGAGTGTCATTATCAGTGTTGTATCATATATTCTTTTTACTATTTCTCGCGTAATGTTTCGAAGACAACTTTTCGTCATTTCGTCATTTTCCAAAGTACAAGCGAGGGTCCGTATCCGCAACATCAACGTAAGAGACTACCTCGAACCTGCTCGGCGGTGGAGACAAGAGACTGTCTCAACGCGCTCCAAGACGTCAAGTTTCGATCGTTATGGTGAGGACAGAGACCGACGACCTTACAGGTCATCCGTGAAGTGCTTCAACTGCGATGAAACGGGTCATTACGCCAATCAATGTCCTCATCGTGAGCGTCGATACTACTCTAATCGACTGTCTACCTCATCGGACTCCAGGCGAGCCCGCTCACCACGGAGGTTCGATTCTCAAAAGAGTTACACCGCCCCAAAGGAGGAAACTGAGCTACGAGAGAGAGTAGCGAAGCTGACCAAGGGGGTGGCAACTATCAAAGAGCACTTTGATGTCGTACAAGCGAAGATCGAGGAGAAAGTCAGACGTAAAATGGAGAAAGCACGAGCCTTAGAAGAAGAAAGGTTGAAGCAGGAGGAAGAGGATGCCCACTTGGCTCAAGAAGTAGCACAACGTGAAGCCAAGAAGTTGAAGAAGGAAGCGAAAGCGAAGCAGGAAGCTATCTTGAAGGCAAAAATGAAGAAGGAGGTGACGATGCATACGACCTTATTAATGAACGAAATTAAGGACGACTGGATCCAATAATGGAAGACATCTGTCATTCCGGCTTTTGCAGGAGACAGATGTGACATCAAGGAGAAGAAGCAAGTCATACTCGAACCAGAGCATGAGAGCGAGTCGGAGTATAGCAGTGAAGGGAGCGAGACCAGCGTAACTCAGGAGTTAAGTGAGAAGACTGGACGTTTGTGCATCACTGAAAAGAGAAAGAGATCTGACGACGTTCCGATTGGCGACAGTCCACCTATGAAAGCACCTCTGAAATGCACCCCGATGCGTGGATGTGTCCGCATGGGGGAACACTGCCAACGGGTGGCCAGAGCAAAGACCAAGGGCACGCGCACTCCGATCCGGGCGAAGAAGCATTCGCCCATCAAGACCCCGTTATCAAAGTTGACGAAGAACCGTAAGCTGTCTCCCCCCCGCGGGAAGTTGACTTCCTCCAGCAAGTCGCTCTCACGCTTACGTTTTTGCGACTCCATTATGAAGGAGTTGAAGGATTGCAACGCTGAAGAGTTGCAGCGTTACTGCAAAGATGAAGGTATTCCTTACGTAGGCAAGATCGATGTGATTTTCGACCTTGCTGAGCACCGCGTGCAACTGCGCTTTCCGTGTATCATCCCAACAACGGATATTATCCACATCAGCGAATCGAAGGATGTCGAAGCTGATGCTTCAACTGAGAACCTAGAGTGATGTGATATTCCGGACTACCGCGGGCTGGATATTTGTAGATATATCACCAGTAAACGTTGTTCTCAGGTATGTATCGATAAGAAATTGGAGAAGCTGCTACGTTTCATCGTCATATCGTTAGCCTTGAATGGTCGGGTTAGATGGTTGCAAAGATATGTCGGTCGTGTGGACTTCTTTGAAAAGTCTTTAATAACTCGATACAAACGGAGGATAGATTTTATACCCCACTTGTAGACATCATCCAGTTTTCTCGGATTCCGTAGTATACCCACCAGTAAGTTCTTCAGGTATTTACACTTAGTCTTCCATTTTACAATATGCAAGATCTAAAAATCACCCCCCTTCTCCCACAAAGCTTTGCAATCTTTCAGCGGTCGGCATATGGAATCATGTTTCACTTTACTTTCACCAAACATACGGGACAACTTCTTTCATTTCGGGATCCAATCCGTGCCACCATCAGATCTCATCTGAATAGGAAGAGTCCCCGATTCAAGATAAGAATCCAGAAAAGCATAAAGGTCGAGGAAGGCGACATCATTATCAATACATCGGAATCGAACAGGTGTGACTCCTCGAAACTGAGGTAAGCGAGTCGGATGCCCCTTACTCTTAATCCTCTCTTTACGACCTGGTTTCCTTTTCTTCGACTTTTTAGAGACCTTTGTCCCCACAATATTGAGGAACGGTGACCACCTTCCAATATACAGTTCCTCAAGTCTGATCAGATCCCGACCAGCAAGCATATCAACTGGAAGCAAAACATAGTTCCCGAAGCCAAAGGAAGAGATCCATTGATGAAAATGGGACTGAGTCCGTTTCCTAACCGCGTAGGGATGCTCTCGCCATCTGACGTCACAGGTTCATGTGGTTTTACCAACGTAGGAATGCTTACAATAAGCTGAAATCGCTGCATATATAATACTCTCGTTATTCAAAAAATCAATCCCGAAAAACCCGAACAAATACGTACCGGGGCACAATATTACAGATTCACCCGGATTCCTATCCACAGGAGCAAATACCAATCCGTCAAAACGTTCTTTCACAGTCAACACATCTTTCACAGAGACGCAGTGGGTCTCGTGGTCTGTGTGAGCAATGCACGTAGACAAATCCAAATCAGAGTAGACAAAACCATTCAGATTCTTCCAACTACGAAAACCCTCTCTGATTTCTTGTCGTAGGAGGCTAAGTCTGTCTGCACACTCGACACAAGGGATATTCTTCGCATTCGCCAGGAGTGGGTGCAAATCGGCTACCTCACTCAGTCGAAACATCACATGACCATTCACGCGAGGGAAATACGAACCCGTACAGTTACAGATGAGCACACCAGATGAGGAAGCTCTTCAGTGGTTGTGCAACAAATCGACGATCGTGGGATTCTTAGTGCCTACGATACGAATTTTCCTTCTCGCACGAAGGGTGAAACACTGAGGTAATTGACAACTCATCAAAACATCGTTGGCTACCTTTCTCACTTTTGAGATCACCACATGGTCATCGTACTTAATTCAGAACGTAAGGTAAGAAGCTAAGTTAAGAATGAATCGCTCCCGAAAACATCGAGAGATGCAAACCTTTGTGTGTAATCCTAGTTACCGTATTGTCAGTTATTCTGAAGCAGACGCTCTGAGGGAATTGAGAGAGAACCTGAATCGATCTAATCTAAGTAAGGTTGTCCAATGGGACAGCAAGGGAAAAATCGGCGCTGCCTATGTTGTTCCTAAACACAAGCATCTGAGCCGATTTAGACCAATTTGCCTATCGTTCATGGAACCGACAGTTCGGACCGCTCGGCTGGTGAGTAAGGCATTGAATCACTTACTATATAATTTGCCAAAAAAGTGGCACTTTAACTTGCGGTCGGTCTCGGACTTGACATCTCGACTTGATGACATCAATAAAAAACTGAATAGACTCGGCGATGAACGGGTAGTTACTTCCTACTCCTTCGATGTGAAGGAGATGTTTAGTAAATTGCCGCATAGGATACTTCTAGAATTCATTGACTGGATCGTCGATCACTTTAAATCCAAGGGTGTCGACTCAGTTCGTGTTAACACCCGAGGTAAGGGGGCGACTTTTGGTACTACTACGGACGCTGACCATTGGAAGAAGTTTGACCTGGATGATATTCAGGAATTTGTGCAGATTGAGGTTAATCATACCTATTGCTACGCTACAGGTGTCCTGCTAAAATAGGAACTTGGTGTACCTATGGGTAAGAATATGAGTCCTCCCATCGCATGCATCATGTGTGCGTTTTCTGAGTATCAGATGACCTGTACTCTGGGACGACTGTCTCGCTGTTTTGGAGCTTTAAGATTGATTGATGATGTTCTACTCGTGATCTCTAGTAGAGATGAGACAATGAGGTCGGTAATCTTCGATGCTCTTGCGGATTGTTATCCGGACACCTTGACATTAAAGAGGACCGATGACAGAATAGGAACTTTGAATTTCCTGGGATGTAAGATTCGTACGAAACAAAACTTCCCATTTCTAGGAAGTGTACAGTTGTCCAGGAACAAATCCAGTATTTGGTTTGATGAACCACTGAAGATCCAGAATGGTCAATCCTTCTTTTCATGGGGTAGTAAGAAGCAAAAAAACGCAGTCATCAGAAGCCACCTTCACCGTATCGATTGGAACACCTCGATACGTTCAGAGATACCGGTGAAGGTTTTGGGGCTTCAACAAGAATTAATGAAGAAGGACTTCCAAGAGAGATTTGTAAATCGGGTGTTCCGACGATTTGAAAGCAGAAGAGATGGGCTATGGAGGAAAACCACGAACCTGATTTGTGACACTTGAGGCTGGGCAACACTGCTTGCTGGTCCTCGGACGAGGGTGAACAGGTATTGAGCCCTCGTATCCGATCTGTTAGGACAGGGTTTGGATCTCGGATGCTTATCTTCTAGTATATGTTGTGTATTTTGTCTGTTTTGGCTTCTTTTATTTGTATTCGAATTTTTGAAGGTAGTTCTGAGGTATAAGTAAACTTTGCTCTGTGGTTTTGACTGATTCCTAGTTAGGACCGGGGACACTATGTTTTTGGTCCAGTCGGACCGGCGTGGTACCGTCTGGAAGTTTCTTGTTTGGACAGTCCCACCTTGAAGGAGGGACCTGTCCCATCCACTTTTTGTCGAATGGACTATAAATACGTAGACAGTGGTAATGGGCCTCTTGGGTTCTGCGGCCGATGGTCGACCGTGACGACTGTAAACTATCGCCCGCAGTTGGCGTGTGGTAAGCAGCGGTTTCTGGGTTTCTTGGCTTTGCAAGTGGGAAAAACCCTCTGGTTTTACATCACATGTCTACTGTCACTACGATGACCGCGTCTTTCTACACTGTGTGCTACTAGTATCACCTGTGTTGTGCTACACTGTGTGTGTTACTACTGTTAGTTACATCTGTGTGAGACTACCATCATATCATATCATATACCTTTGGCAGTTTCTGTCAGAGGTACGAAAGAAAATAATCAAAAGAAAAAAAAATGATTCTAACCACACCCGTCTGACCCTTACTTTAGCTAGGGTCATGGTGTTGCATGCAACAACCCCCTCCTTACTTTTATTTGCCCTCCCCTGAAAACGGAGAGCGTTGTTGTCAGGTTGGGAAATATAGGTCCTCCCCTTTTCCAACTCCTCCCTTTCACGCGCACGCAGTGAGCCGTGAGATCCAAGATCTCGTCACCACAAAAAATTGCTTATAAACGAAGTGGGAGCCATTACGCTCCCACACAGCCGGATCGATTGTTTCTTTCCCAACCTTGAAGCAATCTGCCTCGTTTTTTTTTTTTTTTTTTTTTTTCCTAGTTAAACCCCCTTCTCTATTTTTTCGATTCCCACTCCCCAACGGCCACGAAACAAAGGAGGGGAATGACAAGACAAAAAAAAAAAGGAAAAGGAAAAAACGAATAGCAGAAACCACTTATCTGCACGCCTCGTCCTCGTCTATTGAAATACAGACCCAAGTTCAAATCCAGGCCGAACGGGGTGGGGCAAGCCACGAGTGGTAGTGAATATTTCCATGTTCTGGATGCAAATTCATTCTGATGTTGCCTATTCTATCGATGGAAGTAACATGAGGTCCGCGTCGGGATTGAAGACTTCACGTGTTTTTTTTTGTTTTTTTTTTTTTTTTTTTTTTTTTTTTTTTTTTTTTTTTTCCCTACAGGCACACACACACACACGCAAACGTAATAGTGTATGTTTTCATGTTTTAGTGGTAGATTCATTCAATTTTGTTCATTTTATCTTTTGCAGGCCGTTCTTTTAGACGAACAAGCGTAGTGCATCTCGCAAAAAAACGAGAAAAATAGATTTAAAGAAGAAAAAGAAAAAAAAATAAAACAAAATTTTAAAAGATGGATTTAGAAATAAAAGAAAGAACAAAACTTACCTACTGAGGAACGGTTGCCCGTTATCACGAGTACTCACAACCATCCATAAAGACTGTAAGTCCCTATCAATTCGTAACGTGCCACATGTCGTTTGACTTTTTTTTTTTTTTTTTTAATTCGTTGGCACGAGGCCAACGACCTTCCACTCGGAGCCCGCATATGGGTTTGTTAATACACAAGTTCAAATTAGATTCCTCGGGGAATCGAACCAGACATTTTTTCGATTTATGCATGTCATCCTTGCCTAGGGGTCATGCTATTCTCCGCGTGGTCGATTTCGATTGTGCGATCGGATGATTTCACGGTAGAAATCGATCGGGCCTCATGTTCTTCTCGGTGGGCTGCTCCAAAAGGAGCTAGCCCAAGTGGTATCCTGTCGGGTTGGATCCCGATATTCACTGGGTGAGAATCTCACATGTTATCCTACTGGGCTAGCGCCTATTTCGCATCAGATAAGAACAACCCTTCGATATGAAGGTTGTGCCCGACATGAATATTTATCATACAGTCCAACAGGTCTCCGCCTGCCCCTGCTATTCAAACTGCCTATCGTCGTCTATCGAAGCAAGCACGTGCCTATGCCATTAGAGCAGAACGCATACCTTTCAACTCATCGGCGCTAGTTCGAGTCCCGACGGGGCAATCTCTTACATA